AATACTATGAATTATAAAATTATATGAAAAATAATATGTAATAATATATTCATTCAATGTCAACGCGCAACTTAATGAATATCAAAGCAATCATTTAAACTGAGTCGAGGACTACTTGTATTTTAACTAGAGCACTTCTAGTCATTAATAAATTACACTCAGTACCTGGGCGACCGAGCTTCGCTCGGAATTCTTTGTTATATCGTATTTTTTAGATAAGAAATAACTAAAAACTTGAATAAATACAAAAAAAAACAAAATTTTGTATTCGACCGGGATTCGAACCCGGACACCTGTGATTGTCAATCTTGCGCCTAGGCCGCTTGAACCATATTTTGCGTGGAATAATGTGAAAGAAAACCGCATGAAAATTCGAAAACACGCGTTTTTCCAGACATAAGACTAATCTAGTTCGATTTTTCGCCCCCGACAACTCCCATATACCAAATTTCAGCGAAATCGTTAGAGCCGTTTCCAAGTTCGCCGGTAGGTAGGTATATGTAAACAAACTAGCATTGCCCGCGGCTCCGCCCGCGTTCAGATGACCAAAAACCAAATTCTCAGGTTTTACATATTAGTATATCTTACAATGCAGTTTTTGTATTTTTTTCTCAGAAATGAGATACTTTCCCGCTGGAAAACGTATCCTATATGTTGACCTGGATAACCAACTATCACCATACCAAATTTAATCAAAATCCCTCCAGTGGTTTTCTGTGATGCGGTAACAGACAGACAAAAATTCTAAAAACTATAGATTCGGCCTCTGTAATAATGTTTGTTTCAATAACATTTTCCAAAAAATATTTAATGTATAGATTCGGCTTAGTTTCAATTTTATTATGTGTATAGATAAAAATAAAGATAAAGTTTTAGCCTTAGACACTTGCAATAGAAAAATACTCGTTTTAAAAAAATAATGTTATGAATTAATAATGTTATGTCCATCAACTAGTTCTCATCGTTTTAGTTCGTTTTTTACGCATTCTGGTTTCTACTTTTACAAGTTTTTCGTTTTGGTCACTTAGATTTTTTTAGTTTTATTTAATAATTTCTTATCCTAAATTATTTTTAAACATTTAAGTTGTAAGTTGTATATATATTTTTAATGACCTCATAAAAGCCTGTATTTTTCAAGACAAATTATTGGTGTGTCAGATCCGCCATTTTGACTTCTAATCATATCTACATATATCATGTGGATGTTTTAGTTGTACAATTTATTTAGATAAATTAAGTTTTTTTTTCAAATATTTTGCTAGTTGCTATCGCTTTGTATACCGGAGATAGTAAATTCATATCCCGCTTACAACAAATGAATAATTGCACTTCAAGAATATATCAATTAACTTTAATTGATATTTTCTTGTCGAATATAAAGCGTCATTGAAACTGTAAAACTGCAATCAAAACTTATACCCGCATTAGTTAAAATTAAACGATTAAAGTGCAATTAATTATAATTAAACAACTAGCGACTCACCCTCGCTTCGCTCGGGTTTGTCCCAGGCTTGCTTCCCCATACAAACTTTCATCCCCATTCTCAGGGATGATTTCCGGGATAAAAACTATTTCACTGACTCAATTTTCATACCAGGAGATTTAAAAAAAATGTTAGTAAAAAAAAATATTTTTATTTTTATTTTCTTCTATACAAAACTTGTCCTGACAATAACAAACACAAAAAAAATAAGAATTATCCAATTTAGTGCAGTCGACCGGAAATTATGCGCGTACATACATTTCGGTGATTCATTTTTATTTATACATATATATTACAAAATGGTATTGAAAATGAAAACAACGTTGTGTGTTTAATTCTAGTAATTAGTCCATTGGTTTAGAGTTCAATGTTATAAATTACTAAATAGCAAATCACACGGAACTTCGTGTTTATTGTTTAATCACGTCGATATGGCTAAAACTATTCGAAATAAACTATGAAGTCGTCCTTCACATATCTACCTCTTGTATAAAGAAAAGGTTTCATAAATACCGTAGAAAGTTATTATAATATTAAAAAATAAAAAATGGAAATCAAGCTCACAAGATCGAGTTATAAATAAGATGAGAGCGTCCACCTGCTCAGAGAGCTATTCTACAAAAGTTTCTATAAATAATAAATTTAGAAGGAGTCTAATAAATATTAGAATTAATGTATAATAGAAACATATTGTTTATATTAATGTGTTTACTTTATTACAGGAAGATATTGAAATAGAAATGATGCGATTTATTATTTCCTAAAAAATAAGAATCCAATACATTTTGATTTGTACAAATGACAATATTTAAAACTATAAAATATAGGGTTACTTTTATCCATTGCTTGCTTTATTAAAACGTAAGCAGTAGAGACTGCGTAAAAAGCGCCTTAAAAAGATATGTACGAGTAAATGTTATAAACTGTGTCTTGCTACGTGTATACAATACTCGTATGTCTCCGATTGCATAATACCTGATAATTTTATCAGGTTCTTCGTCAAATTGTTCTCATATATTTAGTTCGCGTTTTGCGCGCTTTCTACGCAGTCGGGGTTTTATTTTTCTAAATCAATTTTTATTTACATCTTTTTAGTTTTGGTCAGTTAGTCATTTTTAGTTTTATTTAACTATTTATTTCTTATCCTAAATTATTTTTAAAGAGATAAGTTGTGTATATTTTTGTAATCGTCTCTTAACAACCTGTATATTAATATATCACTTGATCGATTCGCACAAAAAAATTTTTTTTTGACCTACAAATTGGCGCCTACGATACGCTATTTTGATTTTTAATTATATCTATATACCCATGACACTCATGTTATCAAGACGAATCTACCGACGTACGTATAATCAACATCGGTTAAGCCGTTTAGTGCTTACGACGAAACACAGGGTCGGACAAACAAACATACAGGTCAAACACATAACCCTCCTTTGGGCCTCCCCGCAATGGGGTAAAAATAACAGTAGCAGGTGATTTAAGAGGAATCTGTAATATCAACAGGGGACAGCTTTTGTCCGTACAATTGCAGCACAAGCGCATTGACGAGTCTCCATCATCTCTATCATCTACGCGTTAGATGACTATTTGTAATGATTGCGGGCAATATCCGATTGCATAATTGAGACATTCGCACACAGGATGCCAGTCGTTAGGTTCGGCCCGACTGAGACCAGAGGGGTCCGGCGAAACTTCAATTCGTCACCTCTAATCTAAGCCTAAAATAAATCAAAACATGATTTATATTTAGTTATATTTAGATCATATCTTTCTTTTTAAAACACAAAATTATCCTAAAAATGATATATTAAGTGTATGTTATGCTTTTATCAAATGTCAATTATTATTCTGATAGTTTTGTAAAGCAAAATCATCTCTACTGTAAATTATTAGGAAATATCTGTTTATATGATTTGTAAGGTCTGGTATGAATGAACCTAGGTATACTGTGTGAAGCCCACCACTTAATTATTAAGCAAGATATGTATTAATATTTATTAAGCAAGGTATTAAATTTTCAATACGGATAGTATTTTTTTATAAAAGGCTCAGACCAATAAAAAAGTATTTATTGGTCAGAGATATAAGGTATGAAAAAATATACATTAATGTGATTATCTAGCAACATCAAAAATATCATAACCTTTGAAATGACAATTTGTATTACTAAATAAAGGCAGTGGTCGCCCATTGCAAGGCAGTGATAGCCCAGTGGTAACGCGCTCGCTTGGGAAACCGATTGAAGCGAGTTCAAATCCCGGGTCTCGCACCTCTGGTATTTTCATGTGCGAATCATTTCCAACATGATTACCACTTGTCTTAACGGTGAAGGAAAACATCGTGAGGAAACTTGCATGTCTGAGAGAAATCAGCAAGTTTTCAAAAAGACATGTCAAGTCCGCCAACCCGCACTTGGCCAGCGTGGCCTGATCCACCTCGTACTGAAGGGAGGCCCGTTCCCAGGAGTGAGACGTTAAAAAGGGCTGAATAAAAGGGATAAAAAATAAAAAGGGATGAAACATACAAATAAACGCTTCCAATTTCTTTACATTCTACATTAATAAAGTAGGTTCTTCTCTACAAAACATTTAATTAGCATACACATCATAATTGGTAAGTCCAGGCGTGTGTAAAAATAAAAATAATTTAAATTACTTCATCACGCTCGTTATTAGTATCTATATTTCTCAGAAATCGTCTGATATTTTGGTATTTCAGTTCATAATTGGAGTGAATGTAAACATCACGTTTTATGTGAATAAATAACAAAGTTACAGCAATTATTCGTAAAAACATCTACATTGTAACTTTATACTTTTTATCTTTGTCATAAATTCAAAGTAAATGTTGTGCGTCACTAGAAAACTTAAATATTATCTGTATTTATGCGAATAAATAAAAAATATTTAGTACCAGTCAGCCCCATTTTTACTTAAAACTCAATAGACATTTTAAAAATGTGATTCTTTAAAATCAACGCGCGCTATATATATACTTATTAAGTAAACAAGTACATTTCATACGAAGTAATATCAATAAACAAAAATTAATACGCACTACAGGTAGAACTATAGTAATATAATAGTAAAGTCATAATAATCAAAGGACATCGGCACACATCTCGCACCATTGTGCAAATACCATGGGAGCGGTTCGAGTCGTTGCCATTTCGAAGGTTGCGTGGGAGTATAACTGTTAATGTTCTAAGACTCAAATATTAAGAATCTATTGGTAATAATTAGGCTATATTTACTGATGCTAAATGTTACAGTTATAGAAAGCAGAATTATTATTCATAAGACACTACAATTACGTTACTCTAAAGACATAGGTACTCGTAGATAGATATGACATATATACATAATGTGTATATTGATTGATTGTTTATTGGGAAGGATATGAAGCGTAGTAAAAATTTAAAACGTTTGTGCCCTTTTATTTAATCTTTTATTCATACTATTTTAATATACTTATTACAAACATTTTTCAAATTAGATAACTATTGTTGCAGGAAGCGGAAGAATGGGCCCGTCGGCAGAGTGGTCCCATGGTCAACCCTTCCTTCGAGCCCGATGACTTTCTACCACAAAGGTCTGTATTACAACCATGAAAATATATAAGCAACTCATGAAGCGTAGATATCGATAACATTTTCAAAATCATACTTCAATATAGTACAGTCTTCTACGCACGAAAGATCTTTGTAAAATGATAATTGGCGCCCCAATTTAAACTGCGATTGCTCTGACGAAATGTTATAATAAAGTCCAACTTGTCTTCAGCCCTTTTTAATATGCCACGGCTGAGCACGGACCTCCCTTCAATACAAGAGTCTACCACGCTGGCCAAGTGCGGGTTTAACGCAACGTTCACTCTTTTCTTACAATTTGTTTTAGATAATGAAATTTTTATTATATAAAATAAACAATCCATTAATCAATAACTCAAATCTATTATCTTCTATATTCGTACTATAAAATCATAATATCCGACAGAACTGACGTCAGCAGTTAATTGTCTATTGTTTTAATTGTCGCGAGGATTCCCTTTGAATTTTTATTGATAATAAAGTTTTTCCTCAAAATTTCACTCAAAATATGTCCCACGTTCAAATGAATTATTCTTGCTTATAAAATATATTATCTTAGTAAGTTAATAAAAAATATCCACGATATGTTTTATGGAAAATCATTTATAAGCAATAACGGAAGCTCATAATGTAGGTCACATGGAACGGATTTTCAATATCGTCTGCTACCCATCAACTCGAACAGATCTCAGCGAGGTTTCACATCGTAAATTATTTCCAAAATACTCACCTGACCTAGTTTCTATATGTAACTTGATTTTCTTGACCTAGCGTTTTATTTGCAAATAAAGCGCATCTATTTTCAGGTTACTGATTATTTAATAACTAGCCTTAGCCCTACACTGTGCCGCTGTAGAGCGAAATGTACCTTATTGCTGTTAGTTAACTGCCGTCGATGACACATATCGATAAAAGTTCCAAGCTTTAAAACATTTTTGTCCAATACCATTTTATAATAAGTTTACATTAAAACTGTTTAAAAGACAACCTTGCATGACATTACAATACCGTCTATAAATCAATACATGTAACATTCACGTTTCCTAGCAATCGAAAAGCATGGCAAAGTAAGTCAGTTGCACCTAACGCCAATTATTTCGTTCTTTTTCGTATGTCTACATAATAGTCCCCCATTGTGCTATGTACTTTTGACAGTCAGTATGTAGGTTCTATTCATAATTTTGTATATTCAATTAACTATTAATGTGTTCGTGTGTAATTAAACTTATTCAAATGCTTGCTACGGAAGTGTCTGAATTGAAAACCTATTTGAAAATAAAGAAAAATATAGAATTCAAAATGTTGCTGTTACAGTTTATCACCGGTCAAAGATGAGAAGAAGAGACCGGGGGACAAAGGCATTTTCCTTGTCAATATGAAAGAGAAAAACCTTCAGGAAGTCGAAGAATACGAGCCTTATGACAATAGAGTTGTAGAACATCCCACTACGTAAGTACTTGTAATTAATAATAAAATGTTACCTAAAAATAATCTTGTAAGTAGTTTAAACTAATTTAAATAAACAATATTTAACGCAAATCCGTATTCGATAAAGTTCTACATCCCATGGTACAATTTAAACATGCAAAGTGCGCAGTTCCTGAATATGTAGTTTAAATTCTTTTACGTCCGTAACGTAATTATAACGGCTACGTAAGAAGGTATTATATAAGAGCCAAGGTTTAAAGTGACAAATTATTATATTCTTTTATATTTGGGATTATTTTTTAATATACACTTAGAATAAAAGCCTAGATTAACAATTATTGAAATAAAAAATTAATAATCAACATGTTAAAAAAAATTAGAATGATAATATCTTTCGTAATAAATAGTGTTCAATTTTTTACCTCAGAACTTGCACATATTCTATTCTGATACACCATACACGTCTCATGACGGATCGTATCAAGACAATAAAAATTTAAGGCATGTTCTATGAATCAGGATTCAGCCTTCTTCGACTGTTTCCTCTTCCTAATTTCCTCGATTACAATTAATCATAACTGGACGACAAGGATTTTTATATTTATATCGCGAATACTGTCATCATCAAATATTTATACCAACATTCACTTTATAAATGTGTAATAATAAAGTTTCTGTCATTTTTTTATTTCAAGGCTGTTAACCGGTCATATAAAAATATTTTATGCAACGATTTACTCCTTGTAATTGCATTTTTAAACTCATGTTTATGTAATGTTATATATACGAGATAATACATAACTATTTGCAATAAATTAACATATTGTAGTTTGCTTAATATGGGATCTATGAAGGTTTCAGAAATCTGTCTGTCTTTAGAAAGGCTTAAGCGATTTTGATAGAATTTTCGCTGCCGGTTGAAGAGTGAGACTGAAATAGGCTATTTTTTCATCGTTACACACAAAAGTTTCAGGCAACAACTTCTGTGTTAGTAATAAATTTTTAAAAGAATTTTGGTCGGCAGTATTTTTTGAGTAATCTTGTATATTTTTCTTCTTTTAATTTTTATTGACGTCGTTTATGAGATTACCAGTTGAATATCATTTAATTCCTATCTGATTTCTGATCACGCTGTCCAAGGCCTCACGTACATATCTCTTAGCAATTGCTGGAAACGGAACTTTGAAGTGGACACTGTCATTCATGTTCTGAGAATTCATAGTAAACTGAGTATATAGAATACTAGTTAGCTGTAACCTTAGACTAAAAGACCAAGATAGGTAGATCAAGCATTACATTTGATGCTATAAACCGTATTTTATTAACTAACCTAAAGAATAAAGTTTTCTCGCACTGTGCAAGGTCTACGATCGCGAAATTGCCTTCATACACTCTGCTTGTAATTTGAAGCTGAAGCTATTGCCTATGGCTTATTATTAATAACTATTTTTGCCGATGGCGGTATTCGACTAAATAATTATTATGTTATACCGCGTGTTTGGTTTCCTTAAGAGGTAGAACCTGATCAAATACAAGCATCTATCTATCTCTATACATACATCTATCTCTTTGATTACAATTTTTTCGCTTTTAATTTTGCTTTCATATATACTCGTATTATAAATCTTGTTAATTTACGCTTTTGAGAACAACGATCTATTTATTACTATCCAATGGAAAACAATCAAATGACACAATTTAAAATAAGTAAGATTCATTATGCGATATATTAAGAATCGTTGAATACCCGATGTAAATCCCCGTTTAGAATTTATATTTTATTCAAGTGCCCTCGAGATCTCAGCGATTTTCCTTCATTCGCGGTTTAAAAGGTTAAATTATGCGTATGAGAGCCTTAGGTCTTAGTCTTGCTTCGTGACCGGATTACTAAAACTTTATTTGGCCATTCGGAACACGATATTTTATTACATATTAAAGTTTTACGATTGTATAAAAACCAACGTTAATAACGGTATATTTACGTTTCAAAACACTAGAGTAATTTACATTATTTTTTTAAACACCTACTCTATTATGGCGCTTATTATAATGACAGACGTTTCGTTGATCTATTTTCTATTGGAAGCTATGAATTATATACTTAACTTTAATCATTAACTATTATGAAATACGACTTGATTCTCTTAAATATACGTCTTGCAAAAAATATGTTGGTGTGTGTAAATATTATAAAAAAACACTTTTTAAGTCCTTGAAATTGATTAATGTGCGCATTTTAAACAAATTCGACATTTCTTTCAACGAGAAAAAAAATGTGTGTATATATATGCGCTCAGCGCAACAACGGCAAATATCAAAATAATTATTTTCGTAGTCGTTTAAATGACACAACATTTTTAATTATCATTAGATATATGTAATCAAAATAACTCCTGAAGCTATTATTAAAGGTTTATCTTTACGATTTATAATACTCACTAGGTAATGAAATCTCAACACAAATTAAACGAGTTTTATCCAATAAGAGTCGGCAACAGGAAACATTAAATAAATCAATGTTCGCATTTAGGCTTTATTCGAAGTTATTACTGCAGATACACGTAGTTAATAAAGGGATATGGGGCAATGTTAAGAGATAGTGATCTATTGCCAATTTTATATAAGCCGTTTACTTGGTAGGAGGTACTCAATTCAATCTAAACTATTGTCCACCTAACAAGCCTTTAAGAGGATTGGCACTCTCGTATTGCAATAACTAGTAGGTAAGTGTCTGAGGACACTCAATCGTATCAACCTAAGAGACACTTGCATTCACACAGAGACACTCTGTGTATACATTGAGTGTGCCGTCTGTAGTGTCTTTATTAACTCTTATTGTTAGTCTAAACTGGCCTTAAGACAGCATTGAGTTTGAATCAGTTTATTATAATTATTATTAATGGCTTAGATAATATAGAGGGGCAAGATTTACAAACACTATCCGTTTATACGTAAAATATAAATACCGTTAGTTCTATTTCAATTACTAATTTATGAGATATTTCGTTATTAATTGGGACGACAGAAATAGTTTTACATTAGTACTTAGTATTGTATTGAAAAATGATTTTATCTATTTATTAGCGCTAAAGCATTATCGTATTTTATTAAATGATTAAAAAACTTTACTAAATTTGGTTCTTTTTGTGTTTGTTACGCGATATACTCGTATATATGTAGGTATTAGCAAATTATAAACCGATTTTCATGGATGCTTTTTGTTCTTCCCATATAAAATAAAAGAAATAAAGGCGGACATATTATTTTTAAGTTATTTCGACGTAGATGTACATTTAATCTATTTAAAAAGTATAATTATAAAAAGTATTTATTTGGTACGTGTTGTATAAACTTTTTAAAATTATACTTTAAAACTATACTTTAAAAAGTATTTATATTTATACAACACATACCAAGTATTGAGTACATTACCAGTTACATAGCGCTAATCCGATCACGATTGTATTAAACGCAAAAGGTGGTATAATTGTACAATTATCGTACTGGATGTATAGATATATGGCTGTTTGTAACTCTTTCACACAAAAACTACTGAATGGATTTTAATGAAACTTTACAATAATATAGCTCATACATCATAATGACGCATAGGCTGTGTTTATCACGGACAAATATACGGTTCCCGTTAGATATACTGGCTTTTGTTTTTATACTTAAGGCAATTATGTAGATGAATTTCAATACAAAACTGTGGCTCAGGATACAGACAATTATGGTTACATGAGTAACAAAAACGTTCTTTCTGATTTTGTTATATAATTATTATATGTTGTTATTTAAAGATGCTAATACAAAAAAATACAAATAATCTCAACTTTTTTTGTTACAGAAATACAGAGACCCTCCTCCATTTGTTAAAAGGCAGTTTGGGAACCGGTATCTTGGCGATGCCGCATGCATTCTCCAAATCTGGCTATGTAGTGGGTACGATAGGGACAGTGGTCATCGGGGTGCTATGTACGTACTGTATACACGTCCTGCTGGACTCCTGCTACGTGCTCTGTAAGCGGCGGAAGGTACCCTCCTTAACTTATACCGCGGCGGCCGAAGCGGCACTCTCCGAGGGACCCGACTGGTGTAAAGCATTCGCGCCGTATGCAGCGTAAGTTTCTACACTGCCTGAATAACATACTTTACGCTAGTATTTTATTGCTTATCCTTATGTTTATAAATACTTGGTTTTTTAAGTATGTTAAATATGTAAAGGTTTATCCTAGTATTAGGTACCTAATAGATGGCGAGAATATATGTATTAACAATAGCAACTTACCCTCTCATTGCTCGAGCGCGACCCTAGGTGCCTAACACTAGCCTTTATTATGTAACTCCAAGTCATATAGTCTATCTGTGTACTGATTAAGTTTCATCCAAATCCGTCCAGCCATTTTGCATGAAGCAGTATCAGACATACACACACATACATATACGAGTATGTAAATATTTTCGTATATGTGTGCATGCTTAATAAATATCAAGTAAAGGTCATGTTAAAGTAGGTTAATTACAAATTAACATAACCAGGAGTATTAAATTGTAAGCAAAGTATCAAACAAGATTTTACTTTTTATAGATTTACATCTTTGACTTAGTGGTAACATACTCATATTTATAAACTAAGACGATACTTACGGCTTCAATTCTTGCTTGAGAAAAAAATTATTTAACTTATTTGTGTATTGGCAAACAACGCTTTTGAGCGCATAGATAAATTTAATATTAGTCTGTTTAATTTACCACTACATTTTTATGTCTGTATGCTATCTATCTAACATTGGCTTCAAAGCGTATATCTCATTTTTAACTTTTATGTTTTAGTGAAGTATGCTCTAACAGTTAGGCCTTTACAATTTTTAATTATAACGCTATGTATTTATTATATCATTGTTGCAGGCACGTGGTGAACGCGTTCCTTCTCATTTACCAGATCGGCACATGTTGTGTATACGTGGTGTTCGTGTCCGAGAACATCCATTTCGTACTCACTGAGCACTTCAAGCTAAACGTAACCGTCTTCGAAGTCATGCTTTACATACTCTTGCCCCTGGTTCTTATAAACTGGGTCAGAGATTTGAAGTATTTGGCTCCATTCTCTGCTATAGCAAACGCAGTGACCATTGTCAGTTTTGCAATCATTTTATACTATATATTTAGAGAAGCTCCCACGTTGGAAGGGAAAGTGCCCGCTGGGAAGATTGGAGACTTCCCTCTTTTCTTCGGCACTGTGTTATTCGCTTTGGAAGCTATTGGTGTGGTAAGTTATTATAATATATGAACAAGTATTTTCATTTGTAATTTTACTTTTTAAACAACACATTTAGATTTTTTTGAACACAACATTCATGTCAATTATACATATATGGTATCAGTATAGATCATATACCAAATGTATCTTGATACTCGTCAGTAAGGATTTAATCTAAATATTAAGTTTTATGGATATACATATTGTTTTTTGATTGAAAAAAGAAAACAATGTTCGCTTCATTCTGTAATCTATCATAAGACACAATTGATTTTTTTATTTTATACTAACTAATATATTATCATATATCTATTATTATCTTATATCTTTCAGATCTTGCCCCTAGAAAATGAAATGAAGACGCCAAAGGACTTTGTAGGTAAATTCGGCGTGTTAAATGGCGCGATGATCAGCATCATAATTCTGTACGTCGGGATGGGTCTCTTTGGATATCTACAGTACGGAAACAAGGCAGCTGGAAGTATCACACTCAACTTGCCTTCAGAGACCGAAACGTAAGGACATATTATAATATAATTTTAAATTTATACATTTAGTTAAATTTATATAGTTAAGGTATATTAGGTACAAAATTTTAATAAGTATAGTGCTTTTTCACACGATTCTCTCTCAGCAAGATTATAATGATTTTGACAGCTCACTTACCTTCTAACTAGCTCTATTTCTATAAGCTCAAAAGATTTTAGTTGGGTTAATTAATTAACAGGTTGTATTATTTTTTGCTTTCAGGCTGGCAAGTGTGGTCCAATGTCTCCTTGCATTCGCTATTTTCATCACTCACGGCCTCGCCTGTTACGTCGCTATCGATATCTTGTGGAACGAGTACATTGGCGTCCGTATGTTGAACAGCAACCACAGGATCATATGGGAGTACTTGCTCAGGACACTCATAGTACTGGTTACTTGTAAGTTTGCTTTTATATAACGGATTCTCAAACGGATGGACCGATTTCGATGCAGTTTTTTTCATTTGAAGTCAGTTTCCTTGCGGTGGTTTTTAGCTATGTTTGGTTAATATCAGTCCAGTAGTGTAAGAGTGTCAGCTCTTTTCCAAAATGATGTATGGCATTTTGGCGTTTGATTAATTTGCGTAGGGGTTTTTTATATACCTACTAACTGTTTCTATGTTCAATCTGGTGCTATTTTAGGTAGAATATTACAAAAACTGTTTTTAATTACAATGGCTTAGTTAATGAAGTTTCTGTTATTACAAGTCTTTTGATTTAAAGGATACATTATTAGAGAAGTATTATATTAAGCGTATTAATTTATTATCCTATGAAGAAACTATTAATGTTTATAAAATATATTTACCTATAAAAGAACTAACGACTCACTCTCGCTTCACTCGGGTTCATCCATGGGTACGTTTTAACGGTTAGCATAGAATAGAGAGACTACATATTATGTACATATACATTATACATAGGTACAAAATAAATAGTTCTGAACTTTTCAATTTCCCAGCTGTTTGTTGTTTTTGGGTTTTCGCTATTTTTTTTATCTTAAACCATCCCTGCCCAACAAAACAAAAATTATTCGAATCAGTCCAGCCGTTTTTGAGTTGTAGCGAGACTAACGAACGATTATTCTTTCCAGTTGGTATTGCAGCGGCCGTTCCAGAGCTGGATCTGTTCATATCTCTGTTCGGAGCTCTCTGCCTGTCCGCGCTGGGCCTGGCCTTCCCCGCCTTTATACAGAGCTGCACCTACTGGTACTACGTGTCAGACTCCGAAAGAATCAGAATGATTGTGAAAAACGCTATAGTTGTTCTCTTCGGCACTCTAGGACTCGTGGTCGGTACGTGGACCTCCTTAGAAGGAATCATCGTCAAATTTTCAGGCCACGGCATCGTTGTCAACGCAACAGAAGCACCGAGCGCCTTCACCGAAACCAGCTTAATGCCTTAAATTAATTTTTAGTCATAGTTTGTCAGTGCCATTATGCTAGAGACCCGTCCGTGGTATACAAAGTACAATAGGAAGCAAACTTGCGAAACTTGCGGACTTCACTACTAGTTTTAGGATAGTTAAGAGCTCTGTTTTTATTTTGTTTTATAATTTGTTACATATTCTGTGTTAAATATATAATATATCTGTACTGTAAATAAAAGTATTATAAATACTTATCTAAATAACGTCGCGCCTAAATATTTTCGCTCTGCTATCACATTTTTATTTGTAATTTTATACTATTTATTCCATTTATTATATTCTTTATACTGTCTAGAACTTGCATAATCTTTCAATCTATGATTCATTTTAAGTATATAGGTATTGATTCGAATTATTATTGACATTGAAAATAGTAGGCTAATGATTTAGGTAGTCTTCGTCGCTCCTCGATTGAGACTTAGGTACAATACGACTTTGTGAGGGCAACGTCTCATCACAGACGTTTGAATGACGTCACATAAGCTGTACTAAACAGACTTCTCCAACGCCTAAATCTGCTATTTATTATCCAAATTGGAATAATTCCGTATCGGACGTCCGCGTATTGTGTTGTAAGAAACAGTGTAAGCGTAGTAGTTAAGTATAGTATTATATTGACAGTGAGAATTTGTCGTGAAACGAAAAGGCATTTCGATAGATTAAGTTATTATTTACACATGGACTTCCCCTGCAATTATGTTTTATTATAATATGTACTAAATTATATTATTTCGAATGTTGTATTTTATTCTGTAATCTCGCAAATTTTGTTTGTTACCTTTACCTAATGATTTATTTACATTCTTGTTACATTGGCTTCACGTCGGTTATTCGTTATCATTATCGTATTGCTGGCTTATTTTTTTTTAAAGTAGATGTCTAATAGATACCATGTAACTAGTTATTAAATAATTGACAAACAATGAATAAATAAATGTATATAATTCGATGTGCGTTAAAGTTTATCCAATCCAGAGTATTATGTGAAAAATATATTTAAAGCATTTTATCATTTAAATTTTTATTACATAATATAAATAAATAAATTATGAATTATTATAATCCGGTCATATTATTAATAATGAATCTGTGATGTTATAATAGAATTATTCATTAGGAAATGTCTTGGGTTAATTGTTGTGCAAGATGTTTTTCATCGGTGATATTGTGCTCAGAGCGTAGGTATGGGGTCGAATCCCGAATAAATAGATATTAATATACATGTGCTTATTATTACTTTCCTAACTGTCCCTTTTACTAAAATCATCAAAAACATCATTTTAATTTTCATCCGTTTGAATTTAAAATTTGAAAAATTATATTCATATTGAATTATTTTCATATTGAAATACCTTCGACCTATCGATCATTTAAATTATAAAATTTATAACTTGTTGTTGTATAATACAATAGTAACAAAGGCAAATCTGTACGTTAAAATATATCTTTTAAAAACAATAATTGTTACGTTTTGTGTACAGAATATAAATACTTGGACCTGAAAACAATAGGTGTTGAAATTTTTGTCTGTACATGTACAATTTTCAAGCAAAAAGTGCTGAATGCACTTTAACTAAATTTGTAAAGTGTAGTGATAATTTATTTTATTACTCGGGTCGATATTTAGGATACCTTTTATTATAGGAAAATCTCATTTCCATGGAAAAGCACAATAACCGGTCGGCCGAGTTGTCCTTTATACAAAAAAATATTTTTATTTAGTGGCAGGGTTATACATATAACATATTTAACAATTTAGTGCGGTAAAACTTCTTATTTTCTTTCTTTAAAACGTACCTAGGGACGAACCCGAGCGAAGCGAGGATGAGCCGATATTTAAGAATAAGAAAGCATGAAACAATTTATATTACTGTACCACAAGCCTCACTAGCTCATTTCTCTATTAAAAATTATTATTTTTTATTTACTTCAAAAGGATCAATGGTTTGCAGACATACCACTGACTAGGCCGGTCAGTGGTATGTTGTATGTCCGCTATAATAAGGGTAATTGTGTTTTACTATTACGGTATTAACATAAAAATTAAGTAAATAAAACATCCCTCTAAAACATGTAGTTTATTGAGTAAGACAACATTTATAGCACATTAGCATTACAGTCGTAAAAAATTAAATACACTGTTAAAATGACATTGACAGAAGTTTCTAGTTACTACTGACATTTTGATGTTAAAAGTTAAAATCCTAGAAGCCACGAAAAAAAAGAATTGAATTAAAAATCAAAAACATTATAGCAAGAGGTAGTGTCTATTAAATTTAAAAAAACTTTGCAAATTAAATAATGCACATTGAGATTCTACGTTTATACTTTAATATCCATATAACATTTAATATCATATTTTAAATACTGCACATATGTATATGTTTGTATATGGACAAGGGAAATGCCTTTACGACGTACTGTTCTAAAGTTTAAGATAGACTTTTATGTTAAAATTCATTGTTTCTGTAATGTGACGGTAATGGCTATGTCCATATCACAGACATATAGATTATATGGATCTTATTCTACCAGACACCAGACACCAACTAAACACCAGTTAAATTCATTACGACTATTACGACTATCTATTGCATTACAATTGAAAAATTTAATTTCAGACATTAAAACAAGGTCTGCTCAAGGTTACTTGCATGAACATTCTTAAAATAATTTAAATGTAAAGGTATAAAAACAATCACAGTTTGATATCCACTAAACATACATTTGAATCAAATTACAAATGTCGTGTAAGAATTCGTGTGCAAATAAAGAGTAAACTTGTAGAGAAACTGACTACAAGACTTGTCAGTGCAGAGATAATTACTGCATTATTTGATAATATGAACTAATCGAGCTACTTGTTAGGCTATTTTATGCATTTCATGACATATTAACTTAATTCACAAAACTTATTAAGATAAAATAGTGGAATATATGTTAAATGTGTCCTATTAACTAAATTAAATCTAAACTAAAACGGTTCAACGCTTAATACTAAGATATTTGTACTATGAGACCTAATAAAACGAAAGAGGTAATGCAAATACTAGAATAAAACACATAGCCTTGGTACGTATCGATTTGGGGTATGCTTCAAGGTTGGATAAATTTTAGTTACTTAATTCGAAAAAATATTTTAAAACTCTATGTTTCACAGTGAACATACAATAATTTTCAACATCGATTCACGATTTCACCCACAAATATATACCTTACCACCAAATCAATGATATACATGGTGTTATTTATATAACTTTAAATATTTCAGAGAAATAACGAAATATATATTTAAAACATAAATTTTTTAAAGTAAATTTTGTACTTAGGTGGGGTGAAAATTATAATAAAAATATTGTAGTTTGGACTGTTAATAAAAATAAATTTCATTAACACCCTGTATATCGTTGATCAAAACATGTGTACCTAATAAAAAAAAATATTATTGAACACTGAACTTTCATTAAAAATACGTAAACAAAACACTACATAGGAAATCTAAATTATTCTAAATATTACTTTAAAATCAGTAAAATCATAGTAGAAGTCAAGTATTTGGTTTAAATTTCACAATACAAAAGTTTTTGGTTTAAGATGTATACTTCGGTGTATGTCGAATTTAACTTTACATTTATTACGAGCATTTGTTTTTATTTTATTTAGAATGAATATTGAAACTAAAAACTAAACAAAGTTACTTTAGAATGTTTAAATTAAATGATTATCAGAGAAATGTCTGAAAAGCAACTCATATAAGATATAAGAATCAAAGTCTATAGTGTTTCGCAAATCGCAGGTTCGATTTAAGCAAAGAATACATACATACATTTACATTCTCCACTATAATATTACAGTGGAGGATGTTTGCTTTTAAAAAAGAAATGACTGTTTCGCTTGAATGGAAAAGAGGAATTCTATTCAATGACAAGTTTATACATACAATATATACTAAAACATTTTAGAAATGGGGGATTCCCAGAACGATACAGCAAATGAATTTTTTTATTAGTTAAATATTAGTTATATATTAGAAATAGCTGTAATACTACATAGGTTATCACAATTTAAAAACTATTTATAACGAAAACTTACCGTCAACTATTGAAAGCATATCATAAATACGATTGTATTGTGTGATTATTTTAAAGCCTTTTACTGTTTATAAGCCACGTATAGTAATTTCAGACACTTTTTCAAAATTTTACATTAAAATATTCAACACATCAAATGGTAAGTTTCGTTACAATCAGTTTAAAGTACCTTGTCTTAGTACTAACATATTTTAAGTAAATTGACATTGAATAGGTGACCTCACTAACCTAACATTTACTTACACTACAAAACTTTTTCTAATACATACCCACAGCTCGCTAGCGAACACGTCATGTAATAAAAAACGCAAATGACAATAGTAATGTAACATTCCGTTTACACGGTGTAGGGTTCTAATACTACAACACATACTAAACGTGAAATACATTAAAATGGAATTATTAAAGTGTTATATCTAAAATGTAAACAGGATACGTCACACATCACAGTATAAAAATCCATACAGTAGGCAAACACGATTGATTTTAACGGGAATGCTTTCAAATGCAAGGATTGTCAAAAAATAGCAATTTTCACGGTGAAGTTAAAACACTGTAATATCAAATGGTGCTATAGACGTCGACCCTCAAGACGTTTTCTAAGTTCCTATGTTAGACGACTGCATGGATTGATAGACTGTGGTTCCATGTAAAGTTACTTCTTTCCCGCATCATAGCCTGTTAAAATCGTACGCAGGGCGGTTTTCAGGTGTTCATTTGTTGTCAGCTCCATTTTGGATAGGTTCTGTCTGCAGCACGGACAGCTTTGAGACTCCGTCGACTTAAATGCCAGCTTGAGACACGCCTGTAATATTAATAAGTATAGAGTATTTGTAGAGTACAATTAGTAGACGTAACATTTATAAAAAAATAAGAAGCCCT